GTAGAAGGCAGTTCAGGAGTGTAGCTCGATGGTTCTCATCTGCCACTGAAGGAAAGAGTTCACCTGCATTAATTAACTGGGTGATGAATTTTCCGTCTTCTTCCATCTAGGGCATCAGATTCTCTAATAGGCGCACAGATGTAGTGTCGACATGTGTAGGTTCATCCTTGAACAAAAGCGACTAAGTGTTGTAGACAATATCTAGATAATGACTTATCTCCTGCAGAGGCAGTTAGAGACACCTTTATCACTTAATTAGCGACGGGAAGTCCTTACTGTTGGAGAAGTACATTCCACTAAGCGCTTCAGAAAATTGAAGGGGATATCAACCCAAAGTCCCAGAAAAGGGATTAACCGTTCTAAGCCAAGTACGATGCGTGGGTATCTCTTTTCCAGCCTCCTCAGGTCATTCATTGCGCAACTGGGCATCTTGGACTCCCAAAATGCAATTTCTCTTTTGTCACAGTGAGAAAGCCTGCTATGTAGAAGGTTGCGAAGAATATCACCAGCACTAAAGTCCTTATCCTTAAGCACGCAAAGATGGCGCTCCAAACATTCAGATAAACCTCTCTCATTTAGCGTCTGTTATTGGGATCCACTGGTGACTATTAAAGTTATACATACCGTCATTATATAGGTTGACTGTCCACCAACAGTCACCAGGGTATAACACATCCTTCGCAGCCTCTATACAGTGCTTTCTGTACAAGCACCGAAGCTGAGTACCATGTGGTAACAGTAGTAGAGGCGGTTCAACTGCTGTTTTCAGTTCCGCCTTAGTAATCCCTGACTGGACCATGGCTTGCTGCAGAAGGTCATCACTTAAGACAGCTGAGATGAAGTTGCTGGGTTCCAGCCGTGCGCACTGCTTCAGTTGAAAGATTCTTTTCAGTCTATCAACATTTTTATTATCAAAAACCCTTCCTCCGAAGAGCATTTAAGGAAAGGTCAAATGCTTAAAGCTGACTTTAACACAGCCGCGAAAGAACTGCGCTAGTTCTTTCACACCTTCATCTTAGTTGCTATCCATGGCTGTTCTTCCAAAGGGACACAGATGGGTTTGGGTTAAAATAGCCGTATCATTAGACTGGTCATTATCGTTGTTTCAAGATTCCCTAATGAGCTTCTTCCCAGCGTATTCCCTCCTATTCCCTCCCAGTAGGTCTTCCCTCCCTACCCGTTCTCGCTCCCTAGCAGTCTTCCCTCCTCAGTGGCTTTCTCTCTCCAGTAGATTTCCCTCCTTAGTGGATTACCCTCTGTGCTAGTCTTCCCTCTCTAGTGATTTTCCCTCTCTAGTAGATCTCCCTCCTCAGTGGTTTTCTCTCTCTGTTAGTCTTCCCTCTCTACCTGTCTTCCCTCCTCAGTGGTTTTCTCTCTCTGTTAGTCTTCCCTCACCGGCAGTCTTCCCTCTCTAGTGATTTTCCCTCCTTAGTAGTTTTCTCTCACTAGTAGTCTTCCCTCCCTAGTGATTTTCCCTCTCCAATGATTTTCTCCCACTAGGAGTCTTCCCTCTTTAGTGGATTCCCCTCTCCAATAGTCTTCCCTCTCCAGTAGATTTCCCTACTCAGTCTCTAGATCCTCCTGTCTCAGTGAACTTTTCTCTCCAGTCTACCTCTTCCCTCCCTTAGCGGGGAAAATAGGAACCTAGGGATGACATTTACGAAAGGATACGAGTATACAAATGATCATTGAATAAGTCCAGTAAACACAAAAAAAAGCTTCAAGTACTAAAGTTCACAGGAAATCTGGCGGCACATTCCATGGCCCGGTAAATAAATATTCTTAGCCGACCAGATCCTGGAGATTTGAGGAGAAAATCATGCTTTGTGAAAATGTTATTCTTAATATTAACTCTCACTTCAGCCAAAGAACTTACATCCATCATCTCTTTCAATGATGAAGTGGCAGTCTCTCAAATGAAATGCTTGCAATGCTCACTAACATTATCATTATTTTCTAAAAGAAGGCTCTTTGGGTTGCGGCAAATGGTCCCAGGCTCTTTGAAGCTCACTAATAGCGTGCCAACATCACGGATATCATCCGAATAAGACTGACAATGTGGTTTGAGAATTAAATCTGCAATGTTTGCTGCAACAGATACAGTTAATTTAGCTCCTTTACATAGAAGAGTAACTCACCCAGCTTAATATTGCAGTCATAGAACAAAAGAAGAGTATTCCAGGTACAAAGCTGCCCATAAACTATTTTAAGCTCATTATAGATATACTATATCCCTTGTAAAACCTACAAGCAAGTTAAGCATCAAAGTCTCCTTTCCAAGTGGCTATTAAAGGGTGACTTACTTCCTTTGCAATTATTGCTAGCTTAATCTTGGTTATCTCTTGCAGACAGGTTGCCTGGATATAATGTAAAGAAGTCTTAAGTGATTTGTACACTGAATAGACAGAAAGATCGCACACAAAGATGTCCCAAAGGCGGACAATGTTAGAAGGTTTGTCACCCATGACTTTAAGGAGCTATTCCTGTTGGCTTCTGCTTGCATGCAACTTGAATTTCTTTATGACCATGATATTATGTTCAACAGAGTTGTCATGAGCAACAATACCCCTGCCCGCCTGGTCCGACTCCCAGAACCATCGGTATTTCTGCCAAACTTCTTCTTCCATAATGGTCTTCCTGATTCTGTTTGAATGACCGAGGTGTGCATTTGCCTTCGGAACTGTCAAATCTTATGGTGGGTAGCTTATTTCATTTCGCTTCTTGCGGAGTAATCTCGGCGTTGGAGATGATGAGGTATCACTTTTAATTTTAGAAGGACTCTGCACAGTGTGCTCTTCATTTTGCTCAACTTCTGGTGCAGATACTGCCTGAGATGTGACCAGGCTTCCCACAGGACATTGAAGAGAGAATGAGAGTACAGTGTCACGATATCTGGGACCCTTATCCATCATTTCCTATAACAGTATCATCAAGAATTAGCAAGGAGAAACAATCAGACTTGAAGGATAGTAAGACATAGACAGCGCACAGAGTAAAATAATAAATCAACTGAAATCAGCGCACTGGATGGCAAGTAAATCCAGACCACAAAATCAATAGTAGGTAGTCCCAATATGCTACAAAGGACTTGGAGATACCTATCAAGGCTGAACCTTTTAGCATCTGCATTCACAGAGACTCATGCTTAACTTGAATCCTGCAGCTGCCCCCGGCAAATGGCGCGTTGACGCCCATTCCCTCTCTTCTTCTCATTCTCTCTCCCTCCCTCTCAAAATCTCGCAAGATCGTTCAACGTGTGCCTTCTTAGTAATTAGCTTTTTGTATATAATTATTATTTTAGGTTAGAAATTGAGACTTGAAATTGATATAGTGCGCGTGTTCGGAGATGAGTGATCTGTTTGGGGGTGGATTACGTTAGTTACATGCGGCCGATGACAAATTCATTTTAGGAGGACCCGCTAACCGACATTAGCGTGCATCAACTTACGCTTCAGCCAATCATGACGGCCAAAGGTGGCCCGTAGTCTTGGTCTCTTTCATAGGCTTGCGCCTTAATTATTTCTCTCTCGCTCATAACATCCTCCTGGATCTCACTCCACTACTTCAACAGACACGCGGAGCAATCCTTCGTCATGATTTGAGTCACCATAGTAATGGTCCAGTCATGATAAGAAAATTACGCTATGGCGCTCGGGGGGTTCGGAAAGTCAGCACGGGATGTTTGACATGCAAGTGAGTGAGCTCCGCCCGTAACCAGTTGAATCAGCTTGTAAATCTTGCGGTAGAACCAGGCATAAGAAGTGCGATGAGGCCAGGCCAGCTTGCTCACCCTGTATCAAAGCGGGCTGGAAATGTGACTTCGTCTCGTCGTCTCCCTCTGAAGCACCGCAGTACGCGATGACTCCGCCCATCCGTGGTCTGCGATACCCTTCTGCCAGGCCTTTACTAGATGGCGAACATGAGCACATGGAGTACTTCCAAGTCGTTTGTGCTGGGGAATTCTCTTTATTTTTCGAGCTCCCCGCATGGAAAAACATCATCCTCCAGGCCACTCTCGCCGAACCAGCATTGCATCATGCGGCCCTAGCAATCGGGGCCTTGACCAGCAGCCGTTACCATCCTAACATATGGCACACACCCCCGGCGATCGCGTTCTCAATTCGACATTATAGCATGGCCATCCAGGATCTCTGCCGTCGGCTCGATGGATCTTCCCAAAGTCTAGAGCTTGCCGTCTTAACGAGCGTTGTCTTCAGCTATATCGAGTTTCTCCTAGGACTCGATAGCCGGGCTGAGATGCATATCCAGGCTGGATGTGCCATACTTGAGAACCTCTGCACGAGGCACGATCGGACACTCGCGGTTTCTACTAAGGCTGGATCGAACTGCCAGGTTGGCAGTTTATCTACTAGATATGATCTACTTGCCAGTGCTATGTTTCAGCTCACTGCTCAAGTCAATTGCTTAGTGGCATTTCGGTTGAACAGCAACAATTGATAAATAGATAATTTTCATTTAATGAATGAGATGTTAGTTCAGGCCGACTTGTAGAGGAAGGGCCTCTTACAACGCGATAAAAACAAACCGAAAATACCCAGTAAATGATCAAGAGTTGCAACGCTGTGCGCAACCTAATGTGGGTAACACAAAAACATCTATGTGCTTCCAATACAAGTGTTCGTATTAAATTACAGCAAGATGTCAGAAGACATTACAACAAATCGCAGTCTTCAGAGCGTATCAAAGGTTTTTTTTTTTTTAATTTCAATATCGCACTGCAGCCTTGCTAGGCCAAAAGCGCATAGAAGCCCATGCTTGTCATGACGTCGGTGTTCTGCAATGTTACGCTGGAGCCAATAACTGTAGGTTGAGTGAGCCCTTAATAGTCTTAGCGACTCTATGCCTGGCATGCCATTATAATCTATCTAGAATGACTCTTTGTCTACCGGACTAAATGTATATAAGTCAGTTTCCCCTTCACCTTCGTCAGAAACTCATTGTATAATAATTCACATTCCACCCAATAAGTTTAATCAACCATGGCCTACCCTCACTTAACGTACACTACCGCGCGCGCACTCACCTATTCTTACATCCATATCCCACCCCAATTCCCCAACACTCAATACATTCTCTTCCTACACGGCTTCCCCTCCACCTCGCACGACTGGCGTCATCAGATCTCCTTCTTCGTAGCAAAGGGTTATGGAATCCTAGCTCCGGACTTACTTGGGTTCGGCGGAACGTCGAAGCCGAGTGAGTTAGAGATGTATAAGGGTGAAGGTATGGCGAGGGACATTGTTGAGATCATGGTCTTAGAGGGCGTTAGAGTGGTGGTGGGCGTGGCACATGATTGGTATGTTTTGCGATTCATTCTGTCTTTCTGCCAGTTGTCACATTCATGTGATTTCTAAACAAAAGGAGAGTCAAGGTGTGCTGAGTTAGCGTGCAATTATGCTAACGCTTCTTCCACCAGGGGATCTTTCCTTTTGTCACGCCTAGCGAACTATCATCCAGAGCGCTTTTCGGCCTATGTCTTCATCGACCACGGATATAGTGCTCCTGGCCGTAGCCTCACTACTGCGGTGATACAACATATCAATAGCTCGGTGCAAGCCAAGCTTGGTTTTTCGATCTTTGGGTATTTCCTATTTTTTAACGAAGAGGATGCTCCGAAGCTCCTAAATGAACATGTAAGTTCCTTTTAAACTCTGCAAATTCTGACTTGCTAAATATTGACCATACTGTAGTCCGAATCCGTGGAATCGCTCTTCTTCGCCAACGACAACGAGATCAACAAGAAATACAAGGGCGCCCCAGGCGGTTTGCGCACTTGGTTAACCGAGGGCAAGATTGTTGATTTGCCGGCCTATCTGACATCAGAAGTAAAATTTCTAGCTGTAGTACATGGGGTTTTCAAATTAGCTTACATAGAACAGGACCATAAACATTATCAACACGCCTTCTCCGTCGAAAATGGTGGCTATGGCCCTGCGATCAACTGGTATAGGGCTAATCTGCGTAATATCAATGAAGAAGATGAAAAGAGTATGTACCACTTCCCTCTATACCTTGTGTCTCCCTTTCTTTCCCATTCAATTTCTTCCCCTGAAACTCGTTCTCTATCACCTACAATTTTCGCATCCTATTAATATGCAATACAGAAATTCCCACGCCCGCTCACACCTTAACACACCCAACCTTGCTAATCGCCTCTACCGGTTACATCATCACTGTCACGGCCAATTTTCCGGAGCAGATGCGGCCACTCGTCCCTGATCTCAAAGTTGAGAATGTGAATGGTGGGCATTGGCTGCAGTTAGAGAAGGCGGATGAAGTCAATAAGATTCTGGAGGAGTTTATGGAAGAGAAGCGACTAGTTTAAGATATGAGAGCGCAGAATTGAGAGCTTATGATGCAGAAATATCAGAGATATCAAAAGTCTGCTGTAGACCCTTTCTCTAGCGAGTGCAAAGATGTCTACATTTCGGGCCTCCCCTCGTCTCTATTAATTTATTTGATCTATTTGACCATTTTACTATCATGAGTGCCATCTTGCCACGGTACATATCTTTAGCATTATGTGGCTTATTAGTTCCGAGCCTCCCTTTGTACTAAGGTGATGAGGGCTGCCAATTTGTAATTTGGCATTGTCGAGCGCATGCGCAGAGGTGCAATGAGACAAGTGATTTTATCGTTCAGGATAGATTGTTGTCTTCTAATGAGGCCATCAGGCTGAAGAGTTCTCATTAAGTTTTATCAGTTTACACAAGCTGACGAGTCCCGAGGCGCCCACACACAAGCTTTCCAGATGCGAATAATGACTAACGAATCACAATTCTGCCGACAACACAGCGGCTGATTATCATTTTGGCACACAGTCTACTGTACTCTACTCTTTATCTGGAACACGGCTTCTAAAATCTTCTAGGGATACTCATCAGCCACAGAGCGGGGCATGAGGCTGAGAGCGGACCGTCGGGAATGAGAGAATCGGGAAGCGCCAAGTCCAATTAGGATGGCTCAGGGGCCAACTATATATAGGCTGACTAAGTCGGGACGCTAAACCTAAACGGGATGGAATCCTGACACCCCCCCTCGGACCGACTACAAAGCCTACATATCTACCAACTA